CGGGTGGGAGTGAGTGCCTTAGGCATGGTGTCCCTGGCTGTCATCTCTGTGCCCATGTGAAGTGGGTACAAGCTAAAAGCTAATTACTTGAAAACTAAAGATAACAGATGACAGGGCTTGGGGAGTTAGTTCAGGGTATAAAGCACTCGGCTTGCAAGTGTGTGGACTGGAGTCTGGATCTGTGGAACCAACATAAACACTAGCAGCACTGGAAAGGGGATTTGTGGGGCTAGCTAGCTAGCTAGAACTAGCCAAATCTAGTCTGAGCTCACTGAAAGATCTTGTCTCAAAAAAATAAAGTAGAGAGTAATTGAGGAAGACATCCAGTGTCAACTTTGGGCCTCCACACACATGGGTAAACACTCGAGTGTGTGTGTGTGTGTGTGTGTGTGTGCTCTCTCGTGTGGGTGTGCACGCTCAACACACATGCAGACACACACAGAAAGAAGCCATGAATAAACTGTACCTATTGGTTGGAGCCTCTTCCTGCAGCCTATTTATTGCATGAAGGTCCTTACCCAAGGAGCTAAGTTTGGAAGCCAACCCGGGAACTGGCCTATTCAATGGTGCTCACCTTGAGGAAGCGGCGGTAGCCTCGCACAGCAGTCTCAGGCAGTGGGTGGGAGCGCAGGAAACGCAGATACAGGGGCCAGATGCGAGAGTGCTGTGTGATGGGCAGTGCCCTGAGGGCACGGTCAAAGGTGCGGCGGGTATGTGTTACTCTTCCCTGGTCCATGAGAAACTGGCAGTAGTCTAACCACAGGCGTGGCATCTGAAAATAATGGAGAGTGAGGGGTCTGCACCGCAGGCGCCATGGCCTCCCTACACTTCATATCTAGGGTACAGGGGCAGCAGGGAGGCAATAGGTGTCATTACCCATCACCCAGGCTCTGTGAGTATGCCCAGGAAACTCATTAGTTCCTCAAGCTGATGGAACACTTTGGTGGACCTGTACCTTATTTTGTTGGAGCACTGTGAGGAAGGTATAGATACCTCTTTACATCTCACTGGGGAGACAGTTCCCAGAAGTGCACCTGCCCGCCCACCCCTCTCCAGCTCTCCACCTTGTGCATGAACACAAAGGCCCTCTCATGGCAGTTGTTGACATCTTCATAGGCTGGGTCAGTCACACAGCGATGTTTCACTTGCGCCCGGCGTGCCTTCAGATAGCGGTACCAGAGTTTGTAGCTAGAGCAGGAAAGGCAGATAAGACAGGTTATGGAACCCCAGAACCCTTTCTTTGTTCTAGAGGCAACCGTGGTGAAAAGGGGGACTGAGGAGGGGCAAGAGATCTCATGAGGAAGGGAAAGACTCGGACATGAGGGAAGGTGTGACCTATCATGGCTGTGCTTCAGTAAAGGGATACACAGCATTCTCCTGGGACACACTGGCACTTGTGTTGTGACTGGGTGTGTGGGGGAGGGGAGGGAGCTGGTGAGCAGGGTAGCACAGGGTAGCACAGGGTAGCACAGGGTAGCATAGGGAGGGCCTTTGCACCTGCAGGGAAGCAGTTTGAGTGCCCGCTCATATAACTGGTTGAGTCGGGGTTTGGGGGCCCCCTGTTTGAACTCGATGTAGCGGAGCCAGCATTTGACGGAGAACTGGTTCCTCATGATTTCTTCCTCATAAGGAAGGTCCTCTTCTTCCTGCCAGGGCCAGGGAAGGGGAGAAGAGAAGCCTGTCCTTACTCTCAGTGGAGTCACACCCCATACTGGGGCTTAGCCCCAAACTCTAGGCTCCTACAAAAACTCCATGCCCTTTCAAAAGGCAGTGGTGCAAGCCTACATTCCCATTACTTCAGAGGCAAAAACTAAAGCAGATGGGAGGCTGGTGGGATGCCCAGTGGGTAGAAGCACCTGCCACCGAGACAGAGGACCTGAGTTCAAGCCCCATGGTAGGAGAGAATCAAATCTTTAAGTTGTCCTCTACTTTCCACATTCACATAGTGGCAGGCACAGGTCTTGCTTCTTACACACATTAAAATTAAAAACAAACAGAGGTAGAAAGATGGCTCAGTCGGTGTGCATAAGCATGATTACCTGAGCTCAGATCTCTAACGCTTATGTAAATGCCAGGCATAGCAGTATGGATCTTTAAATCCCAATGCTGGGCAAACAGAAACAGGTAGATCCCTATAAAGCTCACTGGCCAGCCATTTAGCCAGCCAGTGAGCTTCGAGCTCAGTGAGAAGACTGTCTCACAAGTAAGATGGAGAACAACTGAAAATCAGCTAATGTCTATTTCTGGTCAATACACATCCATACACACACAACCTATGCACTTACATACACACTATACTTAAAAACAAACAGGGCTGGAGACATGGCTCAGCAGTTAAGAGTATGTATTGCTCTTGCAGAGGACTTGAACCCAGTTCCCTGCATTCATGCCAGGCAGCTTATAACTATCTGTAACTCCAGACTCTGGCCTGTGGACACTTGATTCACATGCATATACCCATTCAAAGACACCCACATAAACATAATTTTAAAAATATATCTTTAAAAAGCAAATGGACACAACACAACAAGGTCTCAAGCATGATTTCTTCCTTTGTTGAAGCTGGATCACCAGATACTGGCTAAAGCAGCTGTTCTCAATCTATGGTCGCTATGTCTTTAGAGGACAAAAAAACCCTTCACATGGGCTGCCTAAGAACATCAGAAAACACAGATATTTACATTATGATTCATAACAGTAGCAAAATTACAATTATGAAGTAGCAATGAAAGCGATTTTATGGTTGGGGAGGAACTGTATTGAATGGTCGCACATTAGGAAGGTTGCAAACTACTGTGCTGGAGTGGCCCTCAGCACTCAACTGCCCACACAGACCTCTTAGTTGTTCATGAGACCCCTGCCCAGATATCAGCTTTGGCCAGTAAATCCCACTCCCTGGCCCCAGTCCTCACACTCTAAAAAGTCTTTGACAACTTCATACGTATATACAGGGAGTTTTGGATATTTTCACCATTTTTCTCTCCTACCCTCTCCCGATGATCCCTAGACTCTTACCACACTAGGGCACAGGTCCAGGTGCCAGGCCTCTGCCATGGACAGTTGTATCTAGGCACGACACACTTCTTCCCAGACATCAGCCTTTCGATCCCTCACACTTACACTGTCACCACCAGACCTATCTTCATACCAGGCCCGTATAATAACATCTTAAAGGTTTGTTTTGTTTTATTGTTCTTGACAAAGGGTCTCACTATTTGCTCTAGCTGTCCTGGAATTCACTCTGTAGACCACACTGGCCTCGAACTCACAGAGATCCACCTGCTTCTGTCTCCCAAGTTCTGGGATCAAAGGCATTCACCACCACACCCAGCCCAAGGTTTTAAAGTTTTTAATTAATTTATTTTTCCAGCCTCTTCTCAGAAGGCAGATATTGGTGATCTCCATGAGTTGGAGGGCAGTCTGATCTACAGTAAGTTCCAGACCAGCCAGGGCTACATACTGAGATACTATCTCAAACAAAGATTATTTTCTTTCTGTGTGTACACATCTGTGCATGCATCAGGCAGTGGTAGGGCATGTCTTTAATCCTAGTACTCAGGATGAGGCCTGCAGATCTCTGAGTTCCAGGCCAGCTTGGTTTACAGACAGAGTTCCAGGACAGCCAGGGCTAAGCAGAGAAACCTTGCCTCAAAAACAAAGCATTTGTGTATGCACACATGGGAGCAGATGCAGTTAGAGGCCCGGAGTCCTCCTCAATTGCTCTGTGCTTTATTTTTGAGACAGAGTCTCTCACTGGCATTGCATGTTCTATGATTCTTTTTGTTGTTGTTGTTTTGGTTTTTCAAGACAGGGTTTCTCTATTGTAGCCCTGGCTGTCCTGGAACTCACTTTTTAGACCAGGCTGGCCTCAAACTCAGGAATCTGCCTGCCTCTGCTTCCCAAGTGCTGGAATTAAAGGTGTGCACCACCACTGCCCAGCTAGGAACTAGGGTTCTGAACTAAGATCTTATGCTTGTAAAGCAGGCACTTTATCAACTGAGCCACCTCCTCTAAACAAGGTGACTAGGTAACGAAGTCTTAAGCCACCTACCTCATCAGACTTCTATTCCCTCAGGATCACACTTAGTCTGTACTCTGCCACAGACCTTGCAAGCTAAGGGTTTATATCAGGAGGTAGGGTGTGTGTTACTGCTCAACCGTAGAGTGCTTGTCTAGCATATACAAGACCCTTGGTTAAACCCGGGTAACTCAAAAAACAAAACAAAACAAAAAACAACAAACCACAGGAGGGTTACAGCCATAACTCTTAACTCGACGAACATGGCTTAAACATGAGACCTATTTCAGCCACCGTATTTTCACGTTTTTAGGTGATATCCCAGTGGCTACCCACACCCCTAGTCTTTTCTTCATCCTTCAAAGCTGTTATCCAGAATGCAGAACTCTAACCTGGTCACTATGCCTATCAAAATCCATGTTGTTTCACTATCCTATTCCCCTCTCTCACTTCTCTCGGTCTGAAGATGTCAAGGCCTTAACCTCAACAGCAACTCCTCAAGCCATAAAAGATCCGGTTCTTTATTCCCGGCCTGGTCAGTGTTTTGACATGTTGCCCCACCGACTGGGCATGCACGATCTGAGACCTAGTCCCCTCCCCAGAGAGCCAGACTCCGATCCTATAAGGTATCCAGCTTCGGATTTTCCCTCGCAAATCACCCTCCACCTCGCTGCAGACTTACAAAAACAAGATCCGGCCGCTCGGGACGCGGAACTCGCGCCATCACCACCATCTTCCTGGCTCTCCAGGTACAGACGAGAGTCGTGCTCTAGTGGCGTCACTCACAGAATGACCGCCCTCTCCGAGACAGACACTCTTTCTATTGGCTGCACCGCACTTTGACAGCACGGTCTGCTCCTTTGAATTTTGTATAGTTAAGGCTGTGACCGGAAGCAAATGGGGCGCTTGAAGATGACGTCACCATTCAGCTCCTATCTCCTTTGAGAAGAACCAATAAGATTTTGTATTACTGGAGAGTCGACTTTGGGCGGAAGTAGCTTCGTAAAACTGAAAAGCGAGATGGGGGTGAAGCTGGAGGTGTTTCGGGTCAGTAAGCTTTAGGGGTTGGACGTCTGGACATTGAATTTTTGAGAAATTGAAAATAGATCTAGGAAGTGAGAGAAGCGCAGAGCGGGGCGGGGCGTTCCACAGAGAAAGTGTCTGAGACTTGCATTGGAACCCCAACAGAAGGAGCACTAGATAAGGGGGTTTAGAATGGAGAATCTAAGTTTGGTCTGAGGAAGCGTCCCAGAGATGGGTGAGCTGAAGAGATGGTTCAAGGAAGGGAGGCTTCAGATCCAGAGTGGGACTTCCAGAAGGGAGCTTAGGGCACATAATGAGTCTCAGATAGACAGATTCCTAGACGTAGGAGAATATATTTGAAAAATGAGGTTCCTCTATATGAAATGCTACGGGTGGGTATCAGATTGGGAGGTAATAACGTTTCAAGGATATGTCTTTGTAGTAGGAACCTTTAGACTGTTAGTCTCTCTCTTCCTCTCCCTCTTTTCGACCCCCTTTGTGCATGTGCCCCTTTGTGTGTGTGGGGGTGGGGTGGGGGTGATGGTGGTGGAGGAGGGGAGTCTGGACAGATCCACTACGAATAAAACCTGCTTGATCATGAAGACCAGGCTTTAAAGTGCCAGGTTTCTGTTCTTCTGGTAGGATTTCTGGGGTTCCCGGGGACCACCTGAGGCTGAGCTCCTGACCTACGTAGGAGAATAGATCTGTCTTTTGGGCTTCCCTGCAATCTCTCTGTGCCCTAGTGGTGACTTCTTGGCTCTGCCCATCCGCCTCTGCTTTTATAGATGTCACTCTATCTCACTTTCCCCGTGGTTATGTTCTGGATCTCCAATCAGGCTGAGTGGTTTGAGGACTATGTTATCCAGCGCAAGGTGGGTATCAAAGTGTTTGCTGGATAATCCCTGGGGAAGGGAGGGTATGAGGCACTAACTTGCTATTGTGGTTCATTGCCTGCCTCCTATGAGTCAACCCTGTTCTGGATGTGGGGCTCTGGATTCTCCTGCCTTGTGTTCTCACCTGTGACTTTGTCCCACAGAGGGAGCTGTGGCCACGAGAGAAGGAAGGTCAGGTCAGTAACCTGTTCTCCCCAAGGGGCCTGGTCACTTGACCCTGGTTGGGTCTGGAGTGACGATTTCACCCTCAGCCATAGATAGGAATGTGGAAGAGAGAATGAATAGGAGTTCTAGACCAGCTTGAGCTAGAGACCTTGTCTCCATAAAAGTTTCTTGCTGCTTGTGATGGTATATACCGGTGATCCTTTGAAGGAGGAGTAGGAGTCAGATTGAAGCTAGCCTGGGCTGCATGGGGATAGAGAGAGGGAGATAGGAGAGGGAGCAGTAATTTCAACATTCCAGCACTTAGGAGATGGATTCAAGAGGATTGAGAATTCTGGCTATTCTCTGCCACATAGTGAGCTAAGGCTAGCCTGTAGTATTTGAGACCCCATCTTAAAAAGAGTGGAGGACGCAAATGGTTTCATATATTACCTTCTTGCCGAGGGTTGAAGCTGAACTCACTTGTCCAGCGGTTGTGACTGGCATGGGCTCGAAGTGTGGATATTGAACTCTGAAGCCCAAGGGAGGGTAATGTGAGTAAGTCCAGGCTCTGAGGCGTGTACCCCTCCTTCCTTTCCACCACACCCCTTTCCCCATTCCAGCGCCAGGAGCTAGAAGAATTTAAACAGAAGCTCCGGAAGCAGAGGGAAGAAAGACTTCTTCAAGCTGCCCAGCAGAGCTCCTGAGACCTTCAGTTCCTCAAGTTCCAGCTCCTCCCCTCACCCCCCAGAAAATAACACATACTCAATTCTTTGTTGTTAGTGCCAAGTGTTTTATTGTTTTCAGGGGCCGGTGGGAGGCCCAGGGTGGCTAGAACTCTCAAGGAGCTTGTGTCTGGGGCTGGGGGCTGCTGTTCCTGCGGAAGGTGAGTGCGGCAGGATCCTGAGGGCTGAGCAGGGGCTGAGGGCTGAGGGTCCCAGGTCGCTTCTGCATCCCGTCCTGTGGATGAAGAAGGGTCAGACAGAGGGAGGGGCCCAAGGAAAGTGCAAGTCAGAGGGAGAGGCCCAGGGAAAGTGCAAGTCAGAGGCGCCGCCAAGCAACGTTTCTTTTTGTCTGCCAATCAGGATGATGGTATTTGGTCAGATACTGGCCTGTTAGTGTACACCTGTAATCCCAGTACTCAAGAAACCAGCAGGAGGATTATCTCGAATTCAAAGCCACCCTGGTCTACATACTAAAACAAACAAACAGTTGGGTTGAGAAGATAGCTCAGTCATTGAAATCCTTGCCGTGCTCATTTGAAGATCTGAGTTTAATCCCGAAAAGCCAGGTGTGGTTTCATGCCCTTCTAATCTCAGTGCTTAAGAGGTAGAGTCAGGAGGGTCCCTAGGGCTTCCTAGCTAGAGAGCCCGATCTAACCGAGTTCCAGGGCAGTGAAAGAGCCTGTCTCAAATAACAAGGTAATGACTCCTGAGGAACAGGAAGTTGACATCTGACCTCCACCTGCATATGCACACATGTGCACATGGACCTCTAAACATATATGCTAGTGTACAGAGGCATAGGGCTGGGGCTGCAGCTCAGTTGCTAGAGACTGCGTCAAAGTCCTGGATTCCATTCCTAACCACATAAATCACTCATGGTGGCTCACACCTTTAATCCTAGAACCCAGGGCATACAGATAGGAAAACTAGAAGTTTAAGGCCATCATTGGCCAGCCAGGGCTACATGAAACCGTGTCCCAAAACCAATAAAGCAAAACACCCCCAGACAGAACCCATGCTCTTCGTTGATATATAGGAGTGTGCATTCATAAGCCTTCCTCCCAGGAAAACTGCCTGTTTTCTCCCTGTGGCCTCTCCCAAATATACAGATGTTGGAGCAGGAACTGTAATTTCTAGCCATAGTTCTGACACTAGCACGAGTCCTGCATGACCTTAAGCCCACGACACTTTCCATCTCTATCTGTACTTTCTTTTTCCCAAGTTCAAGACAAGTTTAGAGATAGAGTCCTGTCCTATCTTAGCTAGAGATGGGGCACAGATTTAGAGCTGTACAGGTATGTGTCTCCACAGGTTATCTGGACAGCACCTACCTTGGGACCGATAGGTTGGAAGCCAGGCAGGGAATTAACTGTCACACGCTGGTCATCCATGCGGCGGCCCTGGGTGTTGGCCAGCATATCCATGAGATTGTCCATCTCTGGAGCAGGGCCACCCTCTGCTTGGAGCAGAGACGGGTGGGCATGAATACAGACCCCAAATGAACTCCCCACCCTGAATCCCAAGATTCACAAGATCCCAGAACCCCTACATTCCTGCCACATTTGCTTCTCAGGCAACACACACACACACACACAGCCCAACATGCCCTGCTCACGGCTTTCTGGGGTCTGGCCTGGCCCAGCCTGCAAGGAACAGCGCTGCTCCTCCATCCGGTCACCCTGCACGTGGCTCAGCAGATTGAAGAAGCCTTCCTGGTCCGGTGAACCTGCCTTAGGGACAGACGTGATTGGTTTAGCTGGGTCTGTGCTTTCCCTGTCTTCCAGCCAGCTTCCACCTGAACCAGTGCCTCCCTTCCCATCTCTGCTCTCACCATAGTCCTCACAGGTCTGCAGATTTTCTCTAAATGAAACCTGAGTCTCCTTCCCTGACCTGCCCCTGACTCCCCCAGCCCCCACCTCCCGGCCTGGGGCCCCTGCCTACAGCACAATTTCACATGGTACTGCCTCTAGGGACAGTATTCCACCACTGCCCTAGATTGAGACCAGACTTGGGTTGGTTTGGGGGTTGGAACACTTACCAGAGAAATGGGGCTCAGAAGTGCCCTTAAATCCTAGCACCTACTATCTCTTGGGGGACAGTACTAAGAATCCATTCATTTGCCCCGAGGAGGGGCTCTTATACCCTCCTACCTATACCCCCTATGTGTTATGGTAACTGGGTCAGGGTACCCCAGAGACTGGCTTGCTAATTAGATGCCCTATAAATGAATTAATCTTGTCAATTACAGGTGCTGAGACCTCAAGGAGCTGCTGGTGTAGACAGCCAGAGCCCTCTTACCTTGTCTAGAAGGTCTGAGGCTCCCTCTCCCTTTTCTTCTTCCTGATCCATTGTGTGTCTCTCTTACACTTTTCTCCTGGTCTCTGACAGGGCCCCCACACCTGAGAGGGCCTTTTAAAAGGTCAGGATGTGGGGGAAGGGGGAGCAGATATCTTCCCCATCCCCAAATCCCTAGCTCATATCCCATCTGCTCCCACCAATGCTTAAGCCCCAGAAAGATGATCTCTAGGTAATTGTTGATCAGACTGATGCTGAGTTGGGTGTGGGTGTAGGGGGCAGGGCAGTCCAGGTTTGGCCCCCACTAGGCCCAGCCAGGACCTTGAGGACTGTCAAGTGGGAAGAAGTTCAGTGCAATGTGGAAGACCAGCCAACATGAGGGTGGGACCTGCAGAATGTCCCCATCCAAGCCAGCCCAGCCCATTCCTGTCTGTGAGTTGATCCACTGCAAGACAGGTGACATTTGCAAGGTGATAGCCAAGGAGGAAGTTGGGGTCTAGGCCTCCCCTAATCCCTGCACTCTCCACAGACATACCAGCCAACCTGGCTCCTGCCACTGACCACCTGTGAGGTCTTGCAGTGTCCCTAGGACCTCCCAGAAGGAAACTCCTGGATGCTCCGCCCCCTAGAACCTCCCAGAAGGAAACTCCTTGGATGCTCCTGTTTACCTGCCCCTTGAACGCCAAGTTGAGCTGTCTTCAGTCTCTCATTTCTACATGGAGCAGGAGAGAGAGTCCCTGACCATTTCATTGAATATCTGTGGCTTTCTGACCACGCTCTGAGAGCCTGTTCCTATCTCTAAGATGCCTTTCAGGAAACCAGTTAAGCTTCTTTTCCTGAGATAGATAGTTCATGCGCTAAGAGCACTAGCTGCTTTTCCAGAGTACTAGGTTTGATTCCCAGTACCCACATAGCAGCTCACAACCATCTGTAACTTCAGTTCCAGGGAATCTGTTGCCCTTTTCTGGCTTCTCTGGGCACCAGGAACACTCATGGTGCACAGACATACATACAGGTAAAGCAGCCGTACACATAAAACAAATCTTCTAAAATGATTAAATAAGGGCTGGAGAGATGGCTCAGTGGTTAAGAGCACTGACTGCTCTTTCAAAGGTCTTGAGTTCAATTCCCAGCAACCACATGGTGGCTCACAACCATCTGTAATGGGATCTGATGCCCTCTTCTGATATGTCTGAAGATAGTGACAGTGGACTCAAGGGGACCTCTACATTAAAAAAATAAATCTTTAAAAAAAATAAACTGTTTAAATCAAGTTAAAAAGTTACTTTTCTTTCACTTGGGATAAGTGAGGTAGGGTTTGCGTAGGTAGTGTATGTGTGCACATGTGGTGCATGCTCCTATGAAGACCAGAGGTTAACATCAGGTGTCTTTCTGTATTGCTCTCTACCTTTATTTTTGAGACATGGTCTGGAAAATTAAACCTCAAGCTCCTGGATTGCTAGGCTGGCTGGGTATCTAACATCCTGGCTTTAGAATTATTTTTATATTTATTTTGTGAATATGGCTATTTTGCTTGCAAGTATGTGATGTGCTCATGAGATCAGAAGAGGACATTTGGACCCCTTGAAATCGGAGTTATGGATAGTTGTGAGCCACCACATAGGAGCTGGCGATTGAACCTGGGTTTTGTGGAAGAGAAGCTAATCATTACTCTTAACCACTGAGCCCCACCTCCACCCCTACTACCTACCTTCCTCCCTCCTCCCTCCTCCCTTCCTTCCTTTCTTGAAAAGTAGCCCTGGCTGTCCTGGAACTCCCATTGTCATTCTCAGGAACACTGTCCACTTCTTTGAGACACACATTTGTAATCCCAGCACTCAGGAAGCTGAGTCAGGAAGATCTCAAGTTCAAGGCCAACTTGGACTACATAGGAAGCTCCAGGACAGCCAGACAACCTGAGTTACATAAAGACACCCAGTCTCAATCGTAAGACCAAAACAGGAAATATATACCTTGCAGGTTAAGGGTTCTGTTTGCAATTAAGACAGGAATAAGTTCCTGTTTCTTAAATCTGATGTAATCTTTAAGTTTTTAAGACATACACTAAACCTGTGACCCCATTCATATGTTTTAAAAATATTTTTAAAGAATTTTTTACTTATTTTATTATGTATGTGAGTACACTGCAGCTGTCTTCTGACACACCTGAAGAGGGCATCAGATCCCATCACAGATGGTTGTGAGCCACCATGTGGTTCCTAGGAATTGAACTCAGGACATCTGGAAGAGCAGTCAGTGCTCTTAACCACTGAGCCATCACCCCAGCCCTCATCCTTATTCTTATTTCTTTCCTTTCATTGTTTTTTCTAACAATATATCATTTACAGGGGCAACTCTCTTGCCCCTGTAAACATGTTATCTCTCCTATAAAAGGGACAAGAGGCCAGCAAGGCTGCTCTCTAAAATCTCAACTTGTGGAGAGGCAGCTGGTTGACCAGTCCTGGGTGCACCCCAAAGTACAGCTTGCTTTAGACAATTGTGGACTTGGTTTTCTTCCTCACAATTTTCAGGCTTAACATAACAACCAAATAGATTATGGCAGTAGATGTATAACACTTTAGTATGCCAGAAGTCATTACTTTGTATACTTTTGTCAGGATCATGACATGTATGTGGAGGTCAGTTTTCAGGAGTCAGTCCTCTCTTCCAGCATGTAGTTTCCTGGGTTGAACTGAGGTTATCAGTCTTGACAGAAAGTGTCTTTCCTGGACTAGCTTTCTCACTGACCCTGTGAATGACTTTTCAAGAAGCTGTTAAAGGAGAAAGGAAGAAGGGAAAGAAAGAAAGAAAGAAAGAAAGAAAGAAAGAAAGAAAGAAAGAAAGGAAGGAAGGAAGGAAGGAAGGAAGGAAGGAAGGAAGGAAGGAAGGAAGGAAGGAAGCTCCCTTTCTTAGGGTTTTATTGTAGTGAAGAGATACCATGACCATGGCAATTCTTTTTTTTTTTTTTCAAAAAAAACCTTTATTTATTTATATTTGTGCACTGACATTTTGCCTACATATGTATCTTTCTGAAAGTGCTGGAATTCCTGGAGCTAGAGTTACAGATAGTAGTGAGTTGACATGTGGGTGCTGGGAATTGAACCCAGATCCTCTGGAAGAGCAGCCAGTGCTCTTAACCACTGAGCCATCTCTCCAGCCCCTGACCATGGCAACTCTTATAACGGAAAATATTTAATTGGGGCTGGCTTATAGTTTCAGAGGTTCAGTCCGTTATCATTGTGGCGGGAAGCATGGTAACCAGGGGCTACATCTTGATCCATAGCCAGCAGGAGACTGTGTGCCACACTGGGCAAAGCTTGAGCATAGGAGACCTCAAAGCCAACATCCACCGTGACACACTTCCTCCACCAAGCCCACACCTCCTAATGTGCCACTTTGTGGACCAAGCTTTCCAACACATGAGTCTGTGGGGGCCATACCTATTCAAACCACCAGACGTCCCAAGTCCTACTTAGGATGGCTGGCTGTCCTTGTTCACCTGTAACTGTATGGGTTGGTCCTGAGGGTGCAGGCTTGTATTTCCAGTTACTCAGAAGGCTATAGTGCAAGGATTACAAATTCAAGGCCCACCTGGTGATTCAGTGAGACCCCAATTCAAATGAAAAGAAAACTGGAGTGATACCTCAATAGAGAGACAAAAAGGCCTTTTCTCAGTATAAGTCTTGTCTTGACCTGAGAAACCCATCAAAGAGGGATAGGTTAGTGTTGTCAGGCCCCAAATAAAACTCAGTGTTAGGTATCGAACCGGTTAACCGGGGTGCCTATCAGCATGCCCAAGCACACTACAGCCTCCATGCTTACTGAGGTACCTGTGGCTTCTCTCTGCTTGCTTCACTCCTGCCCCCACCCTAAACCTCTCCAGCTTAGGTGCTTCCCTTCCCTCCTCCCAGCTTTTGATTCCTATATAACCCAGCCATTTTAACCACACACTCTCTTGGTTCTCTCTTGGATCAATCTTGGCTCTCCTGGTCAGCTTGCCCCCCTCCCCCCTTCTCTTCTCTTCCTCTTGTTCTTCCTCTCTCCACTCATGGCCCAGTTCAGTAATACTGACCATGTCTAGTTTATGATGTTCTCTCCCTGCTCTGGAGTCTTCTAGATGCCTCTGGATGTATTGTCCCTCATATATACAATCAAATTCTCCCCCTCAACAGTACCTCGGAGCGGGCATGTCCTCACTTTCACTCTAGTTTGACTTACCTAAGAAGTCTGGCCACTGACACTTTCTGCTTCTGTCAGCCACTCCCCGCTCCTGCTGCCCACTTCCAGCTCCTGCCAGACACTTCCACTCCTGCTCCTGTCACCCACCCTCACATTTGCCTGTAGCTCCCCCTTTGCCCTTCTTTATTTCATTTAGGATTTTTTTTTTTTTTTTGGAGACATGGTATCATATAGCCTAACCTGGCTACTAACAAGCTATGTAGTCAAGGATGCACTTGAGTTCCTGATCCTCCTTGTCCCTAGACGTTGCTGTGATTCCATGTGTGGGCACTGTGATTGGTTTATGTGGTGCTGGGGTGGAACCCAGTGCTTTGTGCATGGTAGGCAAGCACTCTACCAACTGAGCTCCGTTCCTAGCCCCATCTGGAAGACTTAAGCATCATCAAGAAACTAGTTCAGATGAGCAAACCCACATCCACAACTATCAGCCGTTAGATCTGAAACCTCGTGTCTGCGATTGATATAGAGACTGTGGCCTCTATGTCACAGGGTGTCAGCTCCTCTCTTAAGAAACAATGGAAGCAGGCTTCAAAATTCTGAGTTTAATTTGAATCACCTACCATATGTGTCTGTGTAAGTGTGTTTGATATGTGTCAGCACATGGATGCAATTGTCCCCCTAAGGTCACACCCTAAGGTATGTGTGGCTCCTAAGGTCATAAAACTGTAACAAATAGCTGGTGTTGCAACTCATTGGTAAAGTACTTACCAAATACTACATGTGTAATCCTCTGTTCTCTCTCTCTCTCTCTCTCTCTCTCTCTCTCTCTCTCTCTCTCTCTCTCTCTCCCTCACACACACACACACACACACACACGCACACACACACACACACATGCTTGCGGGCGCGAACACATGCTTTTTCTTTCTTTTTCTTTTTGGTTTTTTTGAGATAGGGTTTCTCTGTATAGCCCTGGCTGTCGTGGAACTCACTCTGTAGACCAGGCTGGCCTCGAACTCAGAAATCCACCTGCCTCTGCCTCCCAAGTGCTGGGATTAAAGGTGTGAGCCACCACTGCCTGGGCTGAGCACATGCTTTTTAAGGACTAGGAACTCCTTCAAAGCTCATGAACCATCATTGAAGAAGGGGTGGTACAAATGTGAAGGGAGGGGCTGGAGAGATGGCTCAGAGGTTAAGAGAACCGACTGCTCTTCCAGAGGTCCTGAGTTCAATTCCCAGCAACCACATGGGCCACAATCATCTATAATGGAATCTGATGACCTCTTCTGGTGTGTCTGAAGACAACTACAGTGTATTCATATGCATAAAATAAATAAATAAACCTTTAAAAAACTAAATGTGAACGGAGGAGGTTAGGCAAGAGTACGATGAAATGTCTTCTGGACATTACATGAATGTTATATTCATGAACTTCCTGCACTCTTGGTGTTACCTGTGCAAGATCAGGCCAACATATCAGCCAAATTTCAGGTAGGCAGCGCCAACTGAATTCAGTGGGGTACAAAACAAAACAAAACAAAACAAGAGAAGACATGGGGGTGGGTGGGCTACATATTTGGAGGTATCCGGGGGAGTGGGAGAAGGAAGTTGGGGGTGGATGGTATGATTGTCACAGACTCAGAAAGCCTCATTCTTTTCTGAATTATTGGAAATTATTATTTACAATAGGAGATTATATATATAATTATTAAATGTGTAGATTATATGTGTAAATTATTTGCAAATGGCTGAAAGAGGGAGAGAGAGAGAGAGAGAGAGAGAGAGAGAGAGAGAGAGAGAGAGAG